GAGCGCCAACGGCAACGGACTCCTCTCTCGTGGTGAGTCTTAGTTTCAGTTTCGTGCTTTTGCTATTTATTAGATTCTTACTTCTTCTTGTGTGCTCTGTCTTAGTGTAGCCAGCAGGAGCGGGAATGGGAGCGGGAGCGGCGCTGGCGCAACGGGAGTTCAACCTACGTCGACCCCTTCACATGGTAAGGCGTCAGTTTCAATTTTCATTCGTTTTTTTCCCCGGATTCTAACTTTATTCGCTGTGCTCTCTCCTCTTAGCGCAGGACCAGCGGGAGCGGGAGCGGCGCTGGCGGCAACGGGAGTTGAAGCTACGCGGACTCCCTCACATGGTAAGGTGTCAGTTTCAATTTTCATTCGTTTTTTTCCCCGGATTCTAACTTTATTCGCTGTGCTCTCTCCTCTTAGCGCAGGACCAGCAGGAGCGGGAGCGGGGCTGGCGGCAACGGGAGTTGAAGCTACGCGGGCTCCCTCACATGGTAAGGTGTCAGTTTCATTTTGCATTCGTTTCAATTTCCAGATTCTACATTTTTTTTTGTGCTATCTGTCTTAGCGCAGGACCAGCGGGAGCGGGAGCGGCGCTGACGGCAAAGGGAGTTCAAGCTGCACGGACATGGTAGGGTGTCAGTTTCAGTTTGCTTCGTTTCCTTTTCCAGATTCTAACAGTTTTCGTTGTGTGCCCTTCTCTTAGCGCAGGACGAGCGGGAGCGGGAGCGGGAGCAAACGGCGCTGGCGGCGGCGACAAGGGAGGTCAACGCGGACTCCCTCACGCGCGGGTGACGACGTATCGGGCGTTGAGCGGGGAGAAGCCGGAGCGAGGAGGCGGAGCGAGGAGCAAGGAGCGAGGTTGGAGGAGTTTGACTCCCCCCTCCCGTCCCGCCCTTTCCTGCAGATTTGGCGGGAGCAGGAGCAACCAGCGATAGGCCCTCGATTAGGCTACACTAATGGCGGTAATGGGTACAGGACGTTTAGGAGCGATAGGCCCTCGATTAGGCACATGCACATGGGCGATAATTTTGGGTCATCATGGGAACTCCTCCTGACAACCAACGGGAGTCGTCCGATCCGAGGTGTGTAACAGGACGTTTAGGAGCGCGCGTACGAATAGGCACAATCACGTGGGCGATGGGATGGGTGGTGGTCAGGTACATATGCCTCTTTTTTGTGACGGCTGGCCGTCATCCTGACAGCACTGACAACAACGGAGAATCGTCCGATCCCATGTGTTAATTTATTCACCTGCCCCTGTTTTTAGTTTTGACCGTTTCCCCCCTCCCAAGCAGGCCCCACGCGAATGACCCTCACCTCATCGTGGTGCGTGGGTGTAACGTCAGGGGCATTTGCCTCCGACGGCCAAGAGGGGTCAAGAAGACTTTCAAGCTGCTGCTGTGGACGCGCAAGAAGACTCCTGCTGGTCAAGAAGAGTCAAGCTGCTGTGGACGCGCAAGTGGATCTGCTCTGCTCACACTTCGGCATAGGAAGCTTAGAAGGCTTATTAGCAAGAAGTTTCTGTTCTGACTTGTATCTAGTTATTTAAAACCGGAGTCTCAAGTATCCCGAAGTTGCCTCATCCTTCCTACCTTTGGTTGGGGCACAAAGTCCAACCAAGCTTCCTACCTTTGGTTTTGTCACTAAGTCCAACCAACCTTCCTACCTTTGAAACCTGTAGTGTTTGTACTTTTCAACGATGGTACTATCAAGAACTCCTCGGTGTCTAGTTATTAATTTAAGACAAATAAGACGAGTGCACGTATAGTGCAGTTTGTACCAGCAAATAAGTGGCTTGAAGTGCTGTTTTGACGACCCGATACTCGTAGTAGTCTACCTAAAGCTAGCACCAAACGCGTCGTGTCACACACTCCTCTCTAGCGAAAGCATGCCTAGTGCTACCGAATGCGCTACCAAGTGCGCTGCCTAATGCGTTACTTAATGCGCTGCCTATTGCGCTACCTAGGAATGCGCTACTGCTACTATCTCTGACGGCCGTCGCGGGGGACGCGGACGGTTTCGCCGAGATCGCACATGGGCTTCGCTGGCGTCGCCGTCGTCGTCGCAGCGGGGCGGCCGTCGCAAAGCAGCGCGTTCGAGTGCGACGAGTCGCAGACCGCCAGGTACTGGGCGCCGTTCGATTCCCGTACTCCCCCTCCCCCTCTCTCCTTTCCGCCCTTCCCCGAAACGATCGTCATGGGAATCCCGTGTGGCAACCAATGGCGATTGGGCGCCTGAACAGTCGTGTATGTGCGCCGATTCGCACCTCCTCACGCGCTATCCAGCTCCCGAATCCAGCGCGCGTCCCTCGTCCCTCCCCAGGTGATCGCCTGCTCCCTCCGCTAGCAATCGCGCGCCTGCACCTGGTTCCCCCACTCCTATTCCCCAACGGCCCCCTACTCCCTCTTTCCCCCTCTTCCCCTACTCCCTCTTTCCCCCTCTTCCCCTACTCCCCCTTTCCCCCTTTCCCCCTCTCCCCCTACTCCCCCTCTCCCCCTACTCCCCTTTTCCCCCTCTCCCCCTACTCCCCCTCTCCCCCTCTCCCCCTCTTCCCCTCTTCCCCTCTTCCCCTTCCCCCCACCTCCCCCCTTTCCCCCGCATCCGTCCCCCAGCCACGGTGCCATCCCCTACCTCCCCCCTTTACCTCACAATGGGGAAACTTTGGGAGCAGCTGAGCAAGGCGCGCCTCCACCTGGCTGAAGCCATGGCTCTCGCGCGCCACTGGGGGCGCACGCTCGTGCTGCCTGCCACGTGTCCGCAGCAGCCGCATCGGCGGCAACAACCTGCCACGTGGCATGCTCCCCGCGTGCGCGTACTTGACACGGTGCTGATGGGGCGGTTCGTGCCGTGGGTGCGCGATGAGTATCTGTGGCGGACAGTGGTGCCCGCTTGGCGGAGGAGGGGTAGGAGTGGCACAGTGCTGCTGGGTGATTTCAGAGGGCAGAGGGGAGGAGCAGCTCGATGCAATCTGGTGTGCTGCCACTGTGACACGCCGTGGTGGTGCCTCAAAACTGTCACCTGGTGGAGGGGAGAGGGGCTGTGGGGGAGAGGTTGGAAGGGGGGACGCAGAGCAGAGATGGGTTAGTGCGGGTTTAGGGGCGGTGCAAGGAGGGGTGTGCACTGCCCATCGTTGATCCACCACCCCAATTCTTCCTTCTCCACTCCATCCCATTGCACCACATGCCAATACATCTCCTCACGTCCCCAAACCTCTCTCACCCTCACTTCGCCCCTCACCCACACTTCGCCTCCTTCCTACGCAATCCCTTTCCCCCCAATCCCCCGCCTCCCCTGCCCCCTCCCGCAACCACCAGAGCGCCTCGGTGCTAAAAACGAAGCTCCCGTTCCCCTCCTCGCCCCACATGCCCTCCTCCTGGAACTCATCTCTCTATTGCCTCGCCTTCTCGCTTCCCCGCCTTCCTCACCCCTATACTGCACCACGAGCTGTGACGACCGCGCGTGGCTGCGCTGGGTGCCCCCGCGAGCGAGGATCTGCGCTTGCCTGCCCGAGGAGCTGGCCGTGCTCATGAAGGTCACTCACACCGTGTGTTTAGGGCGCCTGCAACCGCTGGTGCGTGTACGTGTGTGAGTGGGAGGGTGGGGAATGAGGGGAGAGTGTGCTCTGTTTGTGCTGAGGTGGTGTGTCGAAGGAGCTGGCAGTGCTCACGAAGTTCACCCACACCGTGTGCTTAGGGCGCCTGCAACCGCTGGTGGGTTTGCACATGGTGTGGGTGAGTGTGCGGAGAAAGGAAAGAGCCATTGTGCACACATGAGGAGCTGAGTAGTCAGCTGGGATGCCGGAGGAGCTGTCAGTGCTCAACACTCATGAAGTTCCTGGCCTCGTTGCGGAGGGCTACGTGCAACCAATAGTAGGTGTGGGTGTGCGGGTAGCAGGCCTCGTGTGAATCAAGGTGGTGGTGGTGGTGCTGCTGCTCCAGCTGCGGTGGCTGCTCCTGCCGGTGCTGCAGCAGCAGGGGGGCATCCTGCCTCCCCCCACAAGTCCTCCGATTGCTAAAAGCGGCATCGCGAGGCGGCGTGTGAGAGGAAGAGAATGATGCAGTGCTACTTCCAAGCTTGTTCATGCTGTGCCAGGAGTCTTTTCCCTGACTTGGTGTGTGGGGGGGTGGTGCTTGATGCTGGTGATTGTGACTCGGTGGGTGCTGTCCTATTGTCTCGGATGGGTGTGTGTGAGGTGTGTGTATGCATGGGGTGCTGTATGAATGCTCTGCTGCATGCATGGTGTATTGTTGCTGTGTGCAGCTCTGAGCAGCATAACGGTCATCATTGGTAGAGGCAAGCACAGCGCTTCTGGGCAAGCCAAAATTCCAAAATTAAGCCTGCGGTAAGGTTGGGGGAAGGGTGGGAAGGGGAAGAGACGGAGGGGGAGGCGGAGAGTGGGAGGAGTTCAGTGCCCCAAATCATCTCAATACTGGCTCATCTAATGCTTTGGGAAGGGATGGGTAGAGTTCTAGCCTTGAGGCTCTTGCTTTGGATTACTTGCAAGCAGATGTCTTAGGTCTGATGCGACAGCGGATAATGCACATAGAGTTATGCTGCACGTGCACAACCCATTTCCAAGCTTAATTGAAAGTCAGTCAATATAATCCAAGTACTGTACGTACATGGAATTGTGATACGTAGCTTACAAGGGTGCTTGCATTCCACGGGTTTATTGCAGTATAGACAGAAGATAGAAGACTGGATGCAATTCCGTGCAATAAAGAGAACGCTGATTGCAGTCACCTGATTGTAAACATTGGAGGCTGCCAAGGAGTCTGGTTGGTTAATTTTACACGCTCTCATGCTTGCTGGTACATTTGTCATATGGATCTTACTTATCTCTACTTAACGGGTCCTGACGAGGATGAGAATCAATTATTCCCCATACCACTCAGTCCCTCCACTATCCCAGCATTCTAGTAACAAGCAACTGCATGCATCAGATTCAGTGCTCAGCTGCACACACCAGTCCGGGCCACCAGACCAGCGGACCAGCCAGCAAGAACTAGAGTCTAGAACACAACAGCAGCACTCTCCATGCGTTTGGTGGTCACCGGAATACACACTGGTCCATTTCTGCTCGCCTTCACCGCACCACCACCACTGGCATTCCTCTCCCTCACCTGCACACGTCTCACCACCTCCCCATGAATATCAAAATACACGCGCTGAGCCAGCATCACCTTTTGCAAAAACCTCCGCTTCTCCTCCTCCTCCCGCTCCACCCCACCCCGCCGGCTCCCCCGTCCACTCACCAGCTCCTCCCACTCCTCATCCTCCCCACCCCCATCATCATCAAACAACTTAGTCCAATCAGGTAACAACCCTTCGTCTTCCAGCTCATCCACCATCTCCTGAATCTCCTCCTCTAGAACATTAAACGTCACCGCCATTTCCTCTTTCATGCGCCCAAACTGCTCCTGCATGTCTTCCCGCAGGCCCTTGGTGCGTTCTCCTAGCCCGTCCAGCCACGAGTGTAACTCGCGCTGCACGCTGTTCTGCACCTGGGCCATGTAATCCAGAGTGTCTGTGGGTAGAAGCCATCCAAGCCCTGCTCCTCCCCCTCCTCCAGCAGCAGAAGGAGAATAAGGAGAAGACGCAGGGAGAAGCGGGGCGTCTACTCCTCCCAACCAGTTTCCCCCTCTGTACGCCATAGCCCCGAGATCCTCCACTTTCTCCCCGCCAATTCCCACAGTTCCGCTGCAGCTCTCGCCGTTGCTGCTGCTGCTGCGGCACAAATCTGTGCTGTCTCTGTTGCTTCTCCAGGCCTCTCTGTGCCACTGGCCGTCCCACTGCTGCTCCGAGCAATGGGAGCTGCTCCGGCTGTCTAGGCGCGTGGGCGTCTGGATGAGCGTATCCAGCAGTAAGAGGCTGCTCGCAGGGCTTAGCCGACCATTGCTGGGCCACGCGGGAGGGCTGTTAGCCATGGGGCTGTAAGGAAGGGGGCTGCAAGGCAGGGAACTGCATGGCATGAGCGCCGGAAATGCTCCTTCTGAGTTATCAATGGAGCGGCGTCCCAATGGCTGCGGCAAGTCAGGCACGGGCGATTCGCTGAAGAGAGCGCGGAAGAAGGGGCTGCTGGCTGCTGTTGCGGTGGTAACAGGAGAGGTAGGAGAAGCAGAAGCAACAGGGGAGGCAGACGAAGCGGGGGAAGCAGAAGCAGCAGGGGAAGCAGGCGGAGGAGTAAGCTCAATGAGCGTGGGAGGAGGAGGGAGGTGGGAGAGAGGCCAGTGGCAGCCGTGGGGGAGCGTGGAGAGCGGCAGAGGCTCGTCGCAGAGGGAAGAGTCGCCATCATCGTCGTGGTCGTAGTGGCCGTCGTGGGCACCGTCGTGGGCGCCTTCGTGGGCGCCTTCGCGGGCGCCTTCATGGTCGCCGTCGTGGGAGCCTTCGTTGTCGTCTGTTGGGCGAGAGGTGGATCCCTCCCCGTCGTGCTGTCCATCCTGACAGCAGGCAGACACAGCAACTGGCACGACGAGATCGCCGCATGCTGCGCTGCTCCCCCCAGGAGGCTCCCGTGTGCGCGAGCTATCAGCACCACCGCCTTGTCCTGCTCCACCAGAATCTAGCCTGACTTTACCAAGAGCCTCCACCCCGCGCGCATTCCCCTCGTCCCGCCCCTGCGCGTCACTCTCGCGGTCACCCGCCCTCCTCATCCCGCCACCCTCGTGGTCGCACTCTCCGTCGCCAGGCCTCTCCCCCTCTCTGGCGCTCGTCTCGGTTCCCTCGCTCTTCCAGGTTCCCCCGCTCGTCTCGATTCTCGCATCACTGCGCACATCGTCCCACATGCTCGCAAGAACGCTTTCGAAAGCCGAGTCGTACGCGTCCCACGCCGCCGCCTCCGCCGTATGTGGCGCCTCGACAATCGCGTGTTGCTCCGTCGAACCACCGCCGCCGCTGCCGTCGACGCTACTGTTGCTGCCGCTTCGAGTTGCACGACTTCTCGCGGCGATTGCGCGGACAGAGGAGGTGGGCAGGGCGGAAGCGGGCTTGGCGGGGAGCGGTTTGCGGGGAGCGGGATGGACGCAGTGAGTGCTGTCTTCCGCGTACACACGACGAGTGGGGAGACTTGCGCAAGGGGCGGAAGGGGAAAATATTGAAGGAAGGAGCGGCGGAGGAAGTGTTGCGGGAGAAAAAAGTGTTGAAGGAATTCGGAGTGAATCAACAACTGTAACTTGAAAATCGTGAAGGGGTAATGGAGAGAGAAGTCGAGCGGGGTGAGGGAGTGGGGGAAGGAGGTGAGAGTGGGAGATTGAGTGGAATTGCTAGGACAGGGGAGGTAGTGGGCAAGGAGTGCATGTGCTTACAGCGATGGGAGGCCCGGAGCGATGCGACGACGAGCAAGCGAACGAGGAGCAATGCGGTAGAGACGATTGCGCGGAACGTTTGGCGCGTGGGGTGTATGGAGCGTGGGAACTCACGTTAAGAGCGAGGAGGCGAGGGATTGGGAGTCGGAACACGTGGCAGGCGTAGAGACGAGGGCGGCGCGACCACGACGGTGGATGGGCTGGTGCATGTACGGAAGGCGGAAGAGGCGGATACGCGGAGGAACGAGAGAAGAGTTACGCGATGGGAGCACGAAAGCGGGATGAAATATGGATTTAGGTAAGGCAGAGTGGCATTCGCGAGGCAGTCAATTACAGATGCCGAATGACAAAGAAAGAGACGATTTCCGAATGACAGGACAAAGTGAGTGTGATTAGCCGTGCGTGATACCCACAGCCGCCATTGGAGCAGAGTTGCCAAGATAAGGCCGGCATGTGCTGCCGTTATCGCGATGAAAGCGGTCGTCCATGAACCAGCAGCCACGTGATTCTGCGTAGGTGAATGATGTTTCAAGATTAGCAGCCAAACACGATCGGCTCAAACAGAAGCCATTGTTCCAGGATGAGAGGACAACAGCATAATGCGCTTCGTCAGCTGCGGACAAGGTACAGGTTCAATTCAAGGCAGGCATTCGAATGCGTAGGTTGGGTTGGTTGGGAGTCGGGTGTTTTTTTGTTTGCATGGTTGGTGGCAGATCGCAGAAGCAGCGAGCAAGAACAAAGCGAGAGCGAATGAGCGGAAGTGCTCAGTTGCGCGGTGCGGAGCGGAAGTGGGGCAACGACGGGGGCCACTTTGCCCATGTGGTGGGGATGCTCCTGCACGGCTGTGGGTTGCGGTGCTGCGGTTGAGGAATTTATGGTCCGACACACCCTGTGTGATCTTCGTACCACCTTGTAAACACCCAGGCAGTGGGAATACCTTAACATGCTCGACTATATTCGATTAGGCAAGACATGACGACCATCGTTACTGAATCGTAATTAATTAAGGTGTTTTCGACCGCATCTGTAGCAATTGAAACCTCCCGATTTGAAAAGAAACATTAGTACAACACGGCTGGAATATTTTTTAGTGTACGAAGGCACCCCCATGGCCGGAACACAGCAAGAAGCAAGTGGCTTCGCGGAGCGAACCATTTTCCCCTGGGTTTCCCGCATAGAATCACCGTGCAGCGCAGTCCCGTGAGCCAGAGCTGAGCAGCCTAGGCCGTGGATGCGCCTAACTGCCACCAGTCAGTTTTGTGCAGATGCGATGCGGCGGCCAGCCAATGATAACAAAGCATTTCTGCTCCCGATTCGTGGTAGAAGTGGCTCTGTTTGGCTTGTGCTGTGAACAGCTGAGAACTCAGGGGATTGGTGTAACGAGGATGAGAACTGTTTCAGGTGCCTTCCTCAGGCTTTGCGGCTACAGTTGGCCTTCACGCCACGAAGGATCACAGAAAACGGTGGCTGAATAACGTTTTTGGTGTGGTTCAGTCAGGTACAGGTAAGGTACACTGAAGACAGCGTTTCAAAATTTACTTACACAATTCCAGCATTTGAAGCTGATTGTGATTGTTAGGATCGAAAATTATACTTCTTTATTTCACAAAATCTCGTTAGTTTCTGTTACGATATGAAACTTTATGAGAAGGCATTCCTGTATGCTACAGGGACCGACTCTAAAGTGTACGAAGCCGAGGAGTCAGAAGAGTCGAAGCGACACTGGTAACCGTCTGATCAAGACCGATGCAAGCAGAAACATTCGAAGTGAAAAGAGCGGGAACAGGTTTGAAACGGGTTCCCGCGCCGCACGGTTTGAGTTCGCTGCAATAAGGGAATGTACCCCTTAGAGTACATGGCTAGTCTAGGTCTTTTCGTATTCCCTTGTATTCTTATATAAACCCGATGTATGCATGTTATTATCAACTCAGTCATTTTACATTCACTCTGACCTGGGATTCAATCTTCCGCTGCAACACTACTCTGCGATCAACCCAGAGCGATCCTTCGATAAAGTCCCAGTTGGGATTGTAACATGATATGAGAGCTACTTAGGGATTCTTCGCAACTTCACTTCCGTGAAATTTGCCGAACCAAGATCTGGCGAGCGGCACACGCTCCAAGACCAAGATGGCCGGAGGATCCGGAGGCCAAGCAAATCTGACGGCCGAAGGACAAACCAACCCGGCTGCGACAAATGAGGCGACAACCACGATCAGCACTGCCGCACTCGAGCAGTTATTTTCGCGACTATCAACTATGGAGAAATACCTCCAAGAAATGCGCAAAGGCGATGCGGGAACCTCTTCCCAACCAGTTCAACCTGGACAACCGGCCGCGAAAAGCCGTGATACCGCCGCGCACACCTTCTCCCTCGACACAGAAAAATCAAGAACAAATGCCCCCCCTCCAAGTGATGAAGTTATCAACTCTGCGCAAGCACGTTTTCTCAGCGTTTCAAAAATTATGACTACCGCCGCATTTGACGGCAAGGACTTCTATACATAGAGTTTCGAGCTTGAGCTCCTCCTACAAACAGCGCAGATATACCATTACTTCGACGGCTCCTACGCAAAACCGTTGGAAGACACCGACGACGCCAGGACTCAGTACTACAGCGAGTCCCTCATGGCATACAGTGTGCTGCTTCGGAATATGACTCCTGCGGAACAACTTAGCATTCGCTCCTACAAAGAGAGCTCCGCTCCAGTCTCGGAAGCCTGGAAGCACCTCGTTGAGGTATATCAGCCGAAGGATTCGGTCACCGCCAGCAGGCTCCTGCAGCAACTCATGGAGACGAAGATGGGGCACGGGGAGAAAGCAAATTCTTATATTTACCGCTGTCGGAACATCCGTGACCAGATCACGAAGCATGGGAGCGCAATCTCAGAAGAGATCTTCGTTAATATAGTCCTTCAAGGACTCGGGCCAGAGTGGAAGCCCTGCAAAGCGCTATTCCGACAACGAGGAATCATCTCTGAAGCCGCGCTATGCGCCGCTCTCCTGACTGAACAGCAGGACATGGACTCGAGCAGAACAAGCTCCGCGCCGCGCCGAGAGCGCCTCGCCTTCTACACAGACAACCGTGAAGAGCGACGACAACCAAGGCGCCTTTTTTGCAAAACATGCAAGGTCTTCGGACACTCAACGGATTGATGCAAATCCCGATCCAACTATCGCCACCCAAATTCCATTCACCACAACAACTGGGTCGGCCGACAAGACGCTCGTCATTCTCAGCCCCAGCATCAAAATTTTCGTCCCCGTGCACAGCACCAACAACAGCAAGGACAAGGACCTGAAGCGGGAGCTCATAGAAACGTGATCGCAAACATGGCGGCAAGACGTCGCCCTCGCGCTACTGAACCAGACGAAAAGGACGAACTTCGCGGTAAGCCCATTCAACCTGAAGAAGGGTGTAACAACCCTCTCACAGAAGATAACTACTACCGCTATGACGAAGACGAGCAAGATTCCCATTAGCCAATAACACTGCGGGAAAGCCCGCCTCATGACAATCAGCACTTCGTACCTGTGGGATGGAAAGAAGATGAAGATCAATTTTACCACGGACGCTACAAGGCGACACTAGTGACTCCGCGACTCGTGCTACTACTGCGCAACAACAACACCGACAACCACAACACCTGGTACCTGAACAGCTGTCGGGGACAGCACATGGTGGGATCTGTGCGATATGTCTCGAACCTCAACCGCGCCCCCGCCACCTACGTCACCGTCGCCAACAACGAACAGCTGCGCGCCAACGCGCAAGGGATTGTGGTCCTGCAAGCACGAGACAGTAACACTCACATTTCGTTCAACGACGTGCTCTACGTCCCGGATCTCCGATTTAACCTACTCTCAGCAGGGCAACTCCGAGACTGCGGAGTCATGCTCGCCACGGACCCGGATACACGCGATCTCATCCTCACCTTCGCTCCTCCAGACACCCCCCCCCCCCCCCCCCCCCCCCCCCCCCCCCCCCCCCCCCCCCCCCCCCCCCCCCCGAGTCGCACAAATACCTGGGACGAGCTCGCTCGATCAACGGCATCTACGTCCTGGACTTCGACATACCGAGCTGTCAGGCTTCATCCGACGAGCTCGTGGATCTCGTCCCCCTCGATTTCCCCTTCATGAACAAAGAGTCATGGCAGCACCCAGACGGGAGGCCGTGGATTCGCTGCAGTCCTCATCCCCGTGAAATCAACCTGCACGAGCCTGACATCAACGGTCTTTGCACCACCTGCCACACTCCCACCGCAAGCCGCACAGAATAAGTGGAGAGAGATTATGCGGCAATCCAGGAAGGGGAAAGCGCCGAGGCAGAAACTACGGGCATGACCGAGATGGAACTCGCCGTGACTACTCACCGCATCTTCGGCGAAGAAAACGAACGGCTTGGTCAACAGCGGCAAGAACGCCCAACGCCCCGCGCATAAAACCTCTGATGGATCCTAGAGGCAAACAATGGAACCTTCGACGAGGAAGGACGCCCACGCCCCTACACCGCGACATCTACCGCAAGGAGATCGACAAAGAGTGGAAGGACCCTGACGCAAAAGAAGAGCTGAGCGTCAAGGAGGAGGAAGATCAAGCAAAGGTAGAAAAGAAACAAAAGCTGTATGAAGAGCGCGTCGCGGCCGGATGGGACGAGGAATCAACACGACGAGGTGCACGGGGAGATGATGACTACATACCGGAGGAAGGTGCAACATGGGGATCCGCAACTGGCGCATCCGGCACAGTGCATAGAGGCGGATGGGGCGACACCGGCGGATGGGGAGGAGACGAATACGTGGATGCTCCGCTCACCAAAGAAGAAGAAGAGGAGATGGAACGACAAATAGCTCCAGAACGCGGAGAACGATCGCCACGCGTCCCTATTCCGCTAGGACGCCCACCCCGCAACATGCCGTCATCACCACGCACACCATCATGGGGCAGGAACAGCTCCTAGGGCTGGTCGGAGATTGAGGAGGGGAACGTGCCACCAACTCCCCCACGTGACTCACTTGGTCCAATCTCCCGCCCAGATCCATTCGCACGCCTTATCGAAGGTACGAGGACCCCGCTCAACATCATCCCCGATCGCGAATTCCTTGCGCTCTACCTCACGACGGCACACAGCGACGGAAGCAGAAAGAGGGGAGCCGGACAACGAAGCAGAACCAGGAGAAGAGGAAGAACCCCCACTCCAGATTCCGCA